ATGATGCAGACGCATCGTCCGAAACCGCCCAGGTCCATCATCCCGAGTGCAACGACCAGAGGCCTCCTGGATGGCGTCCGAGTAGATGAGGTCGAAGGATCGCGCCAGATCGTAAATGCATCGCCGATGTATCGACGATGCATCGGCGATGCATCGGCGACGTCGGCGGCGTATCGGCGACGTCGGCGTGGAGAAAATTGCGCTCCGCATCGAGCCGCATCGCCGATGCATCAGCGATGCGGCGCGATCTTCCGACCCCGTCTACCGCGGCCCCATCTAGGTGGCCTAGAAATCGGCGGCGACGATAAGGGCGAATAGCCCAGGGGCGGCCATTATACGTATTCGCCCGGGGGCCTTGCCGAAGACATAGATCATCGGCGCCCCCGAATGCATGTACTGCTCTCCCCTGGGCTATTCGCCCCTATCGTCGCCTCTGAAGAAAGACGGGGACCTCAGTGAGGCTACGTCTTCGTCGTGTTCTCAGGGCTCCATCGGGATGCATCAGTCCTCGGTCACGAGACGGGCCGCTGCCGCTGCCTCGGCTCGCCCCCCTCCGCGCCTCAGGCCGAGCCCTTCCGCAGCGCGGAGCCGACGCGGGCCGCGGACCCGGCGGGCAGGCGGCCCGCCTGCTCCACGAGCTGGGACACGCGGATGCCGAGGAGCAAAAAGCAGCACAAACCACAAACTTGAACTCGGCGGCGAGCCAAGGGGGCCTTTACCTCCCCCTCCTCCTCCTCCTCCTCCTCATCCTTCTCCTCCTCCTCCTCCTCCTCCTCCTCCTCCTCGTCCTCCTCCTCCTCCTCGTCCTCCTCCTTCTCGCTCCGTATGGTCGTCGTCGTCCTCCTCCTGCCAAGTGAAACGGGGCGGGCCTTCTCAGAAGGCTCGGAAGGCCCCTGGCCTTCCCCGAAGACCGAAGACACAGAAAAAGCCTCGCACAAGGCGCGAGGGCTGCTGAGAAGCCCCGCCGCCTTCCGAGAAGGCCTTCTCCTTCTGACTTACCCCCTCGCTCGCCGCCGGATTTGGGACACGGCAGGCTCGTGTCGTGCCGACTTCGGCGTCGGCTCCTGACGCCGCGGGGATCGTTCAACCTTGAACGATCGACCGTTTCCAAAACATCAACCCTGAAGCTTAGGTCGTTCACCGTCGACCGATTCTGGGTCGCCGGCGGCGTTCAACGTTGAACGACGGTGGCGGGGTCGCCGCCAGTCGGCACGACGCGAACCTACCGTACGTGGACCTGGTGCGCGGTCGCCGGATCCGTGGATCGAGGGAGGTGGCCCCGTGCCGCCCCCGAGCTGGTGGCGGAGCGCGCCGATTCCGCATGTAGACTGGGCCCGTCCACGCGCCTCCATCCATGTCTGCGTTTCCTCGAGCAACCTTCAGTGCTTTTCATTTGTCGCGATAACGGCCGCTACCAGCCCTGGCCGCTCCCCCCCCTCCCAAGTAACGTCACGATTCGGCTGACCTCCGGGGTGCCGGCGCCAGCGCGAAACGTGACGCTACCAGCCCCCCGCCCCCCCACCCCCCTTGAACGGGGCTCGGACAAGCATAAATCCATTCCAGAAGGGTCCGGAACGCTCTCGGAGCGTTCCAGGACGCTCTGAGAAGGCCGCGGCGCCCGATGCATCCTCCAAGGCCGCCGGATCTCAAAGAACCTCGCTGTGTCCTCACCCGAATTGTATCCTCGTGCTGGCTTCGTCTTATCCACCCCACCCCCCGCCCCCAGTAACTCCCGCTATCGCCCGCGAAGCAGAAAACGCTCTCCGTTGAGGGGCAACGATAGGGGGGACTGGCACGTTGCTGGGCAAGTTGGGGCTTTTGGGCCCCTTTCGGCGATCAATGGGCGATTGGGGCTCGATGCATCCCCCCCTATGCCCATCCCCCTTTACACGTCGGTCGGAAGAAGTGGGTAGACACATGAAGTAGGAGGGCGGATAAAGTAGACTGGGCTCAGGCGCTCCAAGAGAACAACAGCACACATCAGAACCGTGCCGAATTTCTTGAAGCAGGAAGGCGCCAGAAGCAGGCTGGACACCCACTCTCCACGACCGACGGGTAATGATAGAAGGAGAAAAAACGCCGTAAGCATAAACTTTTGGCGCTCCGCTCGGATTCCCTGGATCTGCGCTGGACCTCCCTCCCTGGCGCGCGGGGCGCGCCAGGGGCGGCGCCGGAGGCGCCGCCAGGGGTGACCCAGCGCGGATCCAGGAAATCCGCGCGGAGCGCCACAAGTTTATGCTCATGGCGCTCTTTTTTCTTCTCCGAAGTGATCGTTGCCCCTGATCCTTTGGAAGCCCGACATGGGTACGAAAAAAAGGCACAATGCCCAACAACAAATGTTGTCCCAAACCGACAGCGGCCGCTGTTGGGCAGACGGCCTTCCGTCTCAAATGGACACGGGCCGCGGCTGCGCGGACAGCGAGTCCTGTTCAAAATGAAGAGAGGAACTGCTGTTGGGCATTGTACCCACATCTTCTGCACCCATTTCGCACGTGGTCGCCCTCGAAGCTGCTCTTCGAAGCGGTTTAATTCGCGCGTGGTTGTTTCGCCAAATGCTCCAGGATGCTCCCCGATGGCCCTCGCCGAAGGGAAAAAAGATGCACACGTCCGAGCGATGCCACGTGTCCCGGGGCTTCTTGGCCGGGCGCTGGGCCCGCGGGGCGGCGTGCGCGCCGCGGGGCCTCGCACGGGGAACCCACATCTTCTGCACCCACTGGCGGCGCGCACAAAGGGGGTGGGGGGAGGGGGGGGGGGGCTTCGTAGAAGCAGGCTGCTTCCTAGAAGGCGCCGGCCTTACGTCTATAGAGAAGGCCCGCGCCTTCTAAGAAGCAGGGGTGCTTCTAAGAAGCCCCCCCCCCTCCCCCCCACCCCCCTCTGCGCGTGGCTGAACCCAGATCCGCTCTTCGCTCCTCGCAGCTGGTCGCGCTGGGCCTGTCCCACGGGTTGGCCACCGAGGGGCGCCGGCAGCTCTCCTCCCGCGGGGCCCGCCTCGGCGCCTCGGCGCCGGCGCCGCCGCCGAGGCGCCCGTGCGCCGGCGGGGGCAGCGACGCCCCGCACTGGGCCGGCTGGGCGGCGCCACGGCGGGCTCGCGCCGAGGCCTCGCACAGAGGGGCGCTGCTTTTCGCGCTTTGCTCGCGCTTTGCTCTTCGTTTCGCTCTCCCCGCTGTCCTGTGCCTCGGCGGTAGGCAAACCTGCCTTTGGTAGACCTCCCCTTGGTGGAAACGGCCTGGGGCCGAAGCCGACGGACCTGGACCCGCAAAAGTGACGGCCGCGGCGCCCTCTCGCGAACCGAAAACGGCCAATTCCTTAATCGACGTATCAGGATAGGAGGTCTATCGACCTCCCCAACACGACGAGCAGAGCACAGCCGAAGTCCAGCAAAGAGCAGCGTTTAGGTCCAGCCCTGGCCTTGCACAGGTCGGTGTCCGGGGCGGCGGGGCCGCTCGCGGCAGGGCCCTGGCTCGGCGGCGAGCGAGGGAGGGAAGCGAGGAGGAGAGGGCCTTTTCTCAGAAGGCGGCGGGGCTTCTCGGAAGCCCTCGCGCCGTCTGAGAAGCACGTGTTGCGTCTTCGGGGAACACCTGAAAAGAACTTCTCAGAAGGCCAGGGGACTTCCGAGCCTTCTGAGAAGGCTCGCCTCTTCTCTCAGGTCGGGCGTGTCCTCCCACAGGTAGATCTTGGACGAACATAAAACAGGTGTCGAAAAATACTCAAACATAGTCAAAACATAATCGAATACCATCCCCAGACTGTGTTTTTTTTAACCATGTTTGAATCTTCCTCCCGTAGCCCTTCTCATTTTTCCCCCTGGGCTCGCCGCCGACTGGCAGAGGGGCACAAGCTATGGCATGCTGCACACTTCGCAGAACAACCCTGCTGCCCGCAAGCAGCCGGAGATGCGGAGGGGGGCGCAACCCTCCCAGACAAGACCAGCCACGAAAGGGCGGCCTCTTGCCCAGACCCCCCCCTGGGCCTCCAAGACAGCTCAGCAGAGCTTGACCTAAGCGGTGTTTCTCGTGCTGCGTTCGTTTCGTTGTTCGTTTTGCTCTGCCTGCTTTCCTGCACCTCCCTCCCACAACGAACAGCAAAACACAGCCGAAGTCCAGCAACACAGCGATTGGGTCCAGCCCTGCTTGCCCAGAACTCCCTGAACCTCTAAGACAGCTCAGATCAGAGCCCCCCGCATCAAACCCCCTCCTCGCTTGAGACCTGGAGCGGCCACAATCTGCCACAGGTCCGCGCGGGTTTCTTGGATCGGCGCCGGACCCCCCTCCCCGGCGCGCGGAGCGCGCCAGGGGCGGCGCCCTGAGGCGCCGCCAGGGGGGGGCCAGCTGCGGGAAATCCACGCGCGGACCTCCTAGAAAACAAGAAAATAGCTACATCAAAGCAGATGTAAAACAAAAACACATGTGAATCAAAACAGACACGGCAAATCGTCACCAGGCAATTTGTTCCCTTACCTTGCATACTCCTCCTGTAGATGGGGAGACCAAGTGGTGCCGACACCGCCACTCCCCGCACCTCTCCTGGGGTGCGTTCTGACCAGGATTCCGAGGCGCATCCAGCGGTGGCGACGAGGGCCGCCCAGGAGGACCAAAAAGGAAAAAACGAGGGAGAAGGGCAGAGGTATGGGCACCTCTTCCTCCTCTGATCGACTGCACGCAAGAGTGACCCTGGGTAAGAGTGACCTTTGGTGCGCGGCTTTTTGGGGGCCGCGGGGGGGACCAAAAACGAGCGCGCGAGACGCAACTATCGCGTCGCAATCGGTGATCGGGGGACCCCATTGGGCCCGCACCAAAGGTCACTCCAGCGAAAGGTCACTCTTACGTGTAGTCGATCTGAGAAGAGGGGGACGTGCCCGACTGCAGCCCGGGCAGCTCTTTGCTCTTCGACCTGGACCAGCTCCTGCAGGCGAGCCGGGCCCTCGCCCCGGGCGCCCAGAGCCTCCCTGTGGCGCGCCTCCTGCGCCTGCCCGGGGGTGGGCACCGCCGACTGCGCCACCGTCAGCAGCAGCAGGCGGTTCGCGCACTTCTGCTCCTCGAGCCAGTCCGCCAGCTGCACCTCCTGCTCCTCTCTCGAGAGAGGCCTCCCCAAAACGGCGTCGGAGCAGACGGGGTCGGAGGATCGCCCCCCCCGCATCGCCGATGCATCGGCGATGCATCGGCGATGCACCAGCGATGCCTCGTCGACGTCGGCGACGTCGACGTGCCGGAAATCGGGCTCCACATCCAGCCGCGTCGCTGATGCATCGGCGATGCGGCGCAAGCCTCCGACCCCATCTACTCCGACCCCATCTAGGAGGCCTAGATCCTTGTCAGCTACATGCAGGAGTGACCCTGGGTAAGAGTGACCTTGAGTGTACGACTTTTGGGGGGCCGCAGAGAGGCAAAACACAAGCGCGCAAGACGCTGCGATCGCATCGCGTTCGGCGCTCGGGGGACCCCGGTTGGCCCGCACCAAAGGTCACCCCAGCGAAGGGCCACTCTTACTTGTAGCCTTAGGTCGGGCGTGCCCCCCTACAGGCAGATTTTGGACGAAGAATCATACTCAAAAATAGCAGCAACAACAACAACATGAAAAAATCGTCCCCAGACTAGTTGCACTATTTCGGAATATTCCTCCTGTAGAGGGGCACGCCCGACTTAAATGTCGCCGATCCTTGGCCATGATGTCGAGGATATCCATCTGCCCGCCGATGGACAACCGGGTATCCTTGCGCGCTGCTCAACGGGGTGGCGATGAACACGGGGGGGGGGGGGGGGCCCGGGAGAAGCGTGCACCTTCCGTGCCCCTTGTGGGCCCCCAGGGGGCCCCTCGAGGGCCCCCACGGGTGCACAAAAGAGGCACCCTCCTTCACACCCCCCCTCCCCCAGGTATCGCACCCCCCCCCGTGCGCAGCGCGATATCCTCGACTCTCGGCGCCTCGGGCTGCGCCTTCTCGCGGAACACGTCGGGGTCGGGGCCGCTGAAGCGCTTGTGGCGGAAGGTTCCTCCGTGCTGCCGGGCCAGCTCGCGCAGGCCGTACTCCCCCTTGTCGTCGCAGTCGATGCCGACCACGTTGATCGGGACGCCCTTCGCGTTTGCGGCTCTGACCTCGCTCAGGATGTAGTCCGCGTGGTCGCGGCGCGGCAGGCCAGAGGAGATCACGTAGATCATGTCGGCGTCCTGCTGCTGCAGGACCGTCTGCAGGCCGCCCAGCAGGTTGGCGGACTTCCGCAAAGGCCGCAGCCTGTCGAACCACTCCTCTGAATGGGCCCATACACGCAAATAACCGGATTCCCAATATTTCCCCTAATTTTCTGGGCCTTTGTCTTCCCCCCCACTTCCCATGACTTCCCATATATTTTCTGGGGAATCGACGATTCATTGTGTCTGCGTGCTTCTTCTCCTCCGGATCCTCGGCCTCCCGCAGCTTCTGCGTGGTCGGCGGCACGGGGGCGCGCTCCCAGAGCAGCGTCCTCCCCTCGGAGCCAGTCCGCGCCAGGTTGAACCTGCTCTTCGCCACCAGGAAGGAGGCCGCCGGCCCCCCGTGTGCCAGGGGGGTGCTCGGGCGCGTCGAGCTGAGGGGCTGCCCCCGTCCCCTCTCTCCGCTCCCTTCGGGCCCACGTCCTCCTCGTTCCGCGTCCTCTTCGACGCCCTCCTCGTCTGTGGCGTTTGCGCAGGAAGAGCGGTGCTGATGCTAAGCCTCGAGGAATCAGATCGCCGACTTGGGCCTCAGCAGTCAAGTATTCAAGGCAACCGCCACTGCGGATAAGGAAGTGCGAGAAGCTGCGGTGAAGAGAGCGTGGCCCTTGGGGGCGTGCCGTAGGGAGGGAGAGAGCAACAACCAATCAATGAATGGCAGCAGTACCACAGCAAGGATAACCGAGAAGGAACAGCTGGAGTACCGAAATACGCATGCAAGCGCAATGAAGAAGCAACGGCTGCCTGGCCACAGGGTGCCCCCCCCCTCGGCCCTTTATCCAGCCCAACCGCCCCCCCCCCCCAGGTTGGTCCAGGCTACCAGAATCTGGGGTGATGATTGCCCCCACCAAAAGAACAGGCGACGCTAGCAAGGCCCAGCGGGGAAGGAGGGGCCGAGAATGGAGGTAAACAGCTAGGCGAAAACGATAATGCACTAATGATGCAGACAAGCAAATGGGAGGCGTCTTCCGTGACAGGTGAGAGTCAGCTAGTCACACTCGGCGGCCCAGTAGGGAATGCGCACTCCGCCGAAGGCAAAAATAACCATGAAAGCCAAATGCGCATTCCCCGACCACTCCCGTAATCTCCCAAGCCCCTCCCCCCAACCGACAATCGTACTTATAAGCTGATGTGGGTTGCGAGGCTGGCGCATGCAAGATGGTTGGCCTGTGCTGTGGTCGTCTGCAGTGTGACTGGCATGCATCTAGTCAGCTGCGGTGTCAAACCAAACCCGTACGAAATGGCAGGCCTCAGCGTAAAATGGAACTTGCTGAGATTTGGTACTCTAGCGTAAACGGCACTGGCTGGCCTGGCGTGGGCACTGCAAACGACCGACGCCGCTCCCACCACCGATGATAAGATCCGCCACATCCACCTCCAAGTCAAATGCCTAAAATTGAGCAGTGCCTGCAGGAGGCGATCGCAAAGTGTAGAGGCTGGCCTGCGAAGCTGAAAATGATCATGAACTGACAAGCCCCGGAAAAAAACACCAAGTGACGACGCTGGGCTGCTGAATAATGCGCTGCGAATCGTGCAGAAAAGCGGTTGGTCTACACTGTAAAACGATGGGCTGGCCAGGTCGAGACTGACTGGCCTAGTAAGAACAGCAATTTGCAAATGTCCTTCTGGCGTTGTTCGGCCATTCGACAGCCGGCAATGGGCCCGCAATGGTTTTCTGGCAGAGGGCTCACATTCACCGTCTCGTAGCCACGCGGGAGACGGGATATCAAAAACACTACAAGGTCGCAGCGCGCACTGTTACACCCTCAACCTAGGCGAGCAACACAGTCAGCCTCGAGGGGCTTGCAGAGTGGCTACATGAACGGCTGGGGAAAAGGTTTTGGAACAGGCGTGCTGGCAACGAAGCTAGGATCGATATACGCGTAAAAACTGTTTGCTGCTGATAGAAAAATGCATGGTGCGCGTGGTTGCTGCTGATCTGGCGGGGCCACCCCCTGTCGCGCAGGGGAGGGTGTTAACTGCTGCAACAGCGCATCGTTCCTAGCAATCGCCAAACCCATCTCCCTCCAATCCCCCTGCATCCCGCGCAAGACTGGGTAGAGTAACTGCTGCCGCGCCAGGAAATGATGGCAGGCACTGGCAATGTTAGCGAAGTCAATGCGAACGCAAGATAGAGTAGAGCAGGCGAACGCCAACAGAAACGCACTCGGCGCGGCGATTCGCGCGAAGACGAGGCTTTGCTGAAACCCCCAACTTGGCCAAACAACAAGTCGCAAATCGAGCCGATCGCAGGGCCTCGACCCCGCCTGCTGCCGCCGTCGGCGGGCGCGGCGCGGCGCGAGGCTGCCCCCCCCGGGCGGCCGCGACGGGCCCGGGCCCGACGCGCCGCCGCGCCGCCGCGCTGGCGGCCTCGCGCCACGCCTGCACGCAGCAGACAGGGTGGACGCAGATTTGACCGCAACGTTAACATCACAAAGTGGTGATGGGTACTGGCCGTGTCTCTGATGACCTCAATCGAGACCATGGGGGGTGCGAGGCCAGCAGAGACAGCAAAGTAATCAATCCCCATCCACAGCATACCTTCCCTGTACGCAGGGCGACCTGCTGCTACGACGCGCGCCCCCCCCCCCTTCCCAACCCAGCCGACGCTGCGAATTTGAGAGGGGAGGCAATTCCGATCCCCGCGAGGTGAGCGCGCGGAGCACTTCCCCTATCCTGCAAAACAATAAAGAACCCACCGCCAGCGGATCTCCTGTCGGCAGGCGCCAAGAGACTGCAATGAAGCCACCTGGAACCCTGGAGCGATGCTGCTGATCCAACTCATCACCACTCGCGGCGCCGATTCCAACTTGGGACCTGACCACGGCGGACGAGACGTCCCAACATGCGACGGCACGTCGACCCCGACCCCCGAGGGGAAGAAAACAGCAAACGCCTTAGCGACGCCACTCGGATTGATCACGGTGGCCCAGGACCACTTCCACATCCTAGCTTCGCACTCGTCCTCGGCAGCGGGGGAAATCTGAACTTCCTGCAACGCAACAGCATCCTTTAGGTACTTCAGGCAGCGGATCCAGTCCGCGGCGTCGGCCGCCATCACCGAGACTGTGTCGCTGCCCGAGATTGCCTCCGAAGCGGCGCCGTCGCGGCCGTCGCCCGCGCTGCCGCGCGCCCGATGGGGGCTGCGCGGGCGGGGCGGCACCTTCTGTTGCCGCTGCTGCTGCGGCTGCTGAAGGTCCACTGCCCGAGACTGCTCCTGCTGATGTGTGTCCCAGCTGCCCATCCCCCACACGGGCCTGCACCTCCGCCTCCCCCACCCTTCGAACGGCCCTTCGAAGCCTGAGAACGTGCAGCCTGGAACAACTCTTCCGCGGAGGGTTTCGGGTCAGGCTGTCGCGAAGCAGCACAAAGGGGGCCCGCGGGGCCACCTCTGGGGGCAGGGGCTGAGGCTGGAGGCTGCTGAGGGGGTTGCTGGGGGCTGTGCTGGCCAGAAGGTCCGCGGCCACGTCCTCCGTGCGCCTCTTCTTGGCGGCCAGACGGGCGCGGTGCTCACGCTGCTTCGGGACTGCCTCTTTCGCCTGGTCGCGGGAACAGCCAAATAAATGCCTGCTGAGCTGCCGGCTGGAAGTGCTTGAGGGCCTCCTTCCTCCTCTTTGCCTTCTCGAGCTCCTCAGCCGATGCCTCCCGCCCAGCCCCCTCTAGCCCAAATAGGTCACCTGCATCCAACTCCAATCCCTCCATATCCCGCCCACGAGAGACTCCAAGGACAAGATGAACTTGGCTGAATTGGGGCTGGGCTGAGGTCGCTGCTGTACTGAGGTTGCAGGCTCCCCTACGGTTTCTGTCTCTCTGGCACGCTGGAGGGCAGCAAACGCATCTGCATTGTCAATCTGGGCCTGTTCGAAATCTGACTCAAGACGATTTGCTTTGGCGGCATCCAGTCCGAATTGGCCTGCTATTTCTCCAGATCCTGCTTCGCAGGGCCCCACTGCAGCTTGGACGGCGTGGCTTGGATGACACGAAGTTTCTCCCATATGTGCTGGCTGCCTCAAAATCGGAATGTTCCTCCAGGAATTCCATGACCGACTCAACGTCTCATTTGCTGGAACTCCCCAGTGTCCACCGCGGAAACCCCACGAGTCGGTTGACTTCCCACCCCTGGACCAGGAAGAGCAGGAGGCCCGCGAGAGCCCCATACACCACTAGCCCCAATAGGATCAGATTGATTTTCATATACGCCTGTCCACTGGCGGCCGCAGTGATTGCACCACGTCCACCACGACTTGTTGACTTTGCACCCGCCATGCCGTCCTCATCTGTGGTCTCCTAATGTCAGACTCCTCACCTTGCGCTCCCGCCCCTCCTCCTCCTCCTCCTCCTCCTCCTCCTCCTCCTCCTCCTCCTCCTCCGCCTCTTCCTCCTCCTCATTTTCCGCGATCGTCGCGGGCTCTCTCGTTGGGGGTCGGCGGCATGGCGTAAGCCCCATCGGATAGAGCATCCGCTTCAGGGACAGGCGGATGTACGGCAGCAGCTCGCCCACGGCCCCCGAAGTGTCCACCAGGATCACGGGCCGGAAGCCCTCGGCCTGGCCGAAGGCGTCGGCGTTCGCGTGGGCCTCCGACAGCAGGTCCTCGAACTCCTCCCCCGCGCGGTAGCGGTACGGCAGCATGTTGGACACGTAGTCGCCAGGAGCCGACCCGGCCCTCGGTGGCCGACGCGCGCCCAGGGAGGGGGCGCGAGGAAGGCGGCCCGCTGAGAAGCGGAGGGGCCTCCCTCGGGAGGCCCTGGGCCCTCCCAAGGCGGCCCCCGCCTCCCAAGAAGCGCCCCCGCCTTCTCCGAAGCCGCGCCCCCTCGTGCCACCCTCTCCCAGAGGAGGAGCAGGTACCCATACCGCTCCCCCCCTCCACCCGTTTCCCCCCTCTTGGGACCTCCTGGGAGGCCCTCGTCGCCACCGCCGGGTCCGCCTCGAAACCCTGGTCAGAACGCACCCCCCAGGAGAGGTCCGGGGAGTGGCGGCATCGGTACATTTTGGTGCCCCCGCTCTCGCGCGAGAAAGAGGAGGAGGAGGAAAATGAGGAGGAGGAGGAGGAGGAGGAGGAGGAGGAGGAGGAGGAGCCAGCCTCAGCAGCGACGACAAGGAGCTGCGGGCCCTCTCGAAGTAGCCCAGGCGGCTCCGGACGGCCTCCACGCTGCGCCCGCAGAGCCGCTCGAACTCGATGACGTCGATCCTGGCCAGGCTGTACTGTATGGCGGCCTTGCCCGGCGGTCGCATGGTCACCACAATGAAGTCTGCCGGGCCCTCCCCCACATGGCGGGCCGCGGGGCCGAGTGGAAGAGGAGACCGAGGGAGGGGGCGAAGAAGGGAGGGTTCTGGACAGGGCTTTTTGTTTTCGTTTTCCTTCGTTTTTGCCTTCAATCCACCTGCACCGCAAAACAAAGTCGAAACGAAAACGGCCCACGAGATCGCCAAACCACCGTCTAGGTCTGGGCCGGATTCTGGATGCTGGATATGGCGCGCCACGAAAGCGGCGCGTCCCACGGAGAAGGGAGCACGATGGGGGACACTGCATCATGGATCCCGGCAAGGGGCGAATGCGAGCTTGGCCTGAAAGGCCCTTCCAACAGTATGGGCATCACCAGTCGTGGCTTCTGTCCTTGGGCGTCGCCCATCCATCAAATCCTGTGAAGGAGAGAGGAGGGAGTACGCGGTCTGGAGGGGCGGGCACTTCACGGACCAGGCACGCCTTCCGCCCTGAAGGGCAGGAGGGAAGCCCTCGATACACCTGAAGGTTGGGCTCACCCTGCCCCTGCTTCCGGGGGGGGGGACTGGACAGGAGGAGGACGAGAGGAGGAAGGAGAAGGCGCACCACCGTCACCGAGGCAAACAGTTACAGACGGAAGCCCCGCCCCCTCCCTTACCTTTCCCTCCAGCCCCACCGAAGCTCCCCCGCCCCCTTCCCCGTCCCTCGATCGAAGACCACCCGACCCACCTTCTTATTCGACGGATGGAAACTCCCCCCATTTCTCAGCCCCGAGGCCCTCCCTCATAGCCCCCTTGCCCTCCGCCTCCCCTTCCCCTCCCCTCCCTTCCCTTGACCTCGTCGACGAGGGCTGGGAGGAGGAGTGCCAGGGACCTGCAACCCCGAACCTAAGACAGCGCACGCTGCTGTCCAGAATGAGACGGAGGATGCTACCTCCGTGCCGGATGACGGACACGAAGCCTCTGCACAAACAAGACACAACGACCTGGAACGGTCTTCTTCCCCTGGCCCGCGTCGCTGGACCAGCTGCCTGCAGCTGTCGACGGAGGAGGAGGAGGAAGAGGAGGAGGAGGAGGAGGAGGAGGAGGGGGAGAAGAGAGAGGAGGAGGAGGAGGAGGAGGAGGAGGAGGAGGAGGAGGAGGAGGAGGAGGAGAAAGGGAGGAGGAGGAGGAGGAGGAGAAGGAAGGAGGACGAGGGGGGGAGAGGAGGAGGAGGAGGAGGAGGAGGAGGAGGAGGAGGAGGAGAGGAGAAGTAGGAGAGAGGGGAGGAGGGAGGAGGGGAGAGGAGGCGGAGGAGGAGGAGGAGGAGGAGGAGGAAGGGGAAATGAAGATATTCGCGCCACACCCTGCGCGTCGTATCCACATGGCGCGAATCGGGGACACCACCCACAGGGGGCCCGCGGGAGCAGCCTCAGACCCTCGAATGGTTCTCCAGCTGGGCGTTGCAGGAGGCCACCTCGCAGAACCGCATGGAGATGAACTCGCGGAGCTTCGGCGTCAAGTTCGCAAGCTCCCAGCAGTCTCCCGGAGGCCCCTGGAGCTCCAGCGGCTTCCGCACCTGGACGTCCTCCTCGAACGTCTCGCCGGGCCCCGGAGGTCGACCTGAGCAGAAGCAAACCACGGCGACAACAGACCTGGCACGGGACCGTCTGGCCGGGACCCCGCCCCCCCAACAACGACAACAACAACAACAACAACAACAACAACAACAACAACAACAACAACAACCAACAGCCCGCGACCCCAGCAACCTCACAAGAGGGGCATGCGGCCCCCCCCTTGTGGGGCTGCCGGGGCTGTCGAGGCCCTGCCTGGAAGACTCATGCGGATCCGCCGGGGTTCTCTAGGATTCGTTCGGGATCCTCAGGATCCCTCTGGGTTCCTTCGGGTTCTTCAGGGATTTCCCATTCCTCGAGATTCCAAAATATTCTTCGGGACGCCTGCGGATTCCTCAGGACTCCTTGAGATTTCTCAGGGTCCCTCAGGGTTCGTCCGGATCTCTCCGGGCTCCTCAAGATTCCGAAGGGTCCTTCCGGATTCCTCAGGATGCCTCGGCTCCCCAGGGCTCTGCAGAATCGATCCAGATTCTTGAGGTTCCATGAGGATTCCTTAGGATCCGCCAAAGTTCCTCAGGATCCCTGAAATGTGATCAGGATCCCTCAGGGTCCCTGATGAATCCGCCAGATTCCGAGAACGTTCGTAGGATTCCTCAGGGTGCCTCATAAGGAAGTCAAGCGTATTGACAACCCTCATGATCGGGGAAATCGGGACACCCGAGAAGGAGTTCATATATGGGCCCTTCCTCAAGGCCGCTGACCAGAAAGGTTATTCCCAACAATCCTGGGGTGTTGGTTTCCTGGTTGGACTAGACAGCGACCCGCGTCAATCCGCTCTCTCCTCCTCCTCTTCCTCCTCCTCGTCCTCATCCCTCCCTCCATCCCTCCCTCCCTCCCTCCCTCTCTCCCTCCCACCCTTCCTCTCTCATTCCCTCCCTCCCTCCTCCCTCCCTCCCTGCCTGCATCCCTCCTCTCCTCCCTCCCCTCCTCCCTCCCTTCCTCTCTTCCTCCTTTCATCAGCTTTCTCATCTTCCTCCTCCTCCTCCTCCTCCTCCTCCTCCTCCTCCTCCTCCTCCTGCTCCGCCTCCTCCTCCTCCTCCTCTCCTCCTCCTCCCTCTCTCCCTCCTCCTCCTCCTCCCTCCTCCTCCCCTCCTCTCCTCCCCCTCCTTCTCGTCCTCGTCCTCGTCCCTCGTCCTCTCCCTCTCAATCCTCCCTCTCGCCTCCTCCTCCTTCCTCCTCCTCCTCTCCTCCTCCTCCTCCTCCTCCTCCATCCCTCCCCTTCTCCTCCCTCCTCTCCTCCTCCCTCCTCTCCTCCTCCCTCCTCCCTCCGCCCTCCTCCCCTCCCTCCTTTCTCCTCCCTCCTTTCTCCTCCCCTCCTCCTCCTCCCCCTCCCTCCTCCCTCCTCCCTCCTCCCCTTCTTCCTCCCTCCTCCCCTCCCTCCTCCTCCTCCCGCCTCCTCCTCCTCCTCCTCCTCCTCGCCTTTCTCCTCTGCCTCTTAGTATTAGTATTATTATTAGTAGTATGATTGTTATTAGTATTGTCATTAATATCAGTATTAGAGGTAGTAGTATTAGCATTATGTTTAGTGGTAGTAGTATTAGTAGTAGTTTTATTTGTAGCATCATCACTTTATTAATATTATAAGTAGTATTATTATCATTATAAGTTTTGTTCATATCATTAGTAGTAGTAGTAGTAGTAGTAGTAGTAGTAGTAGTAGCATTAATAGATTTATTACTAGTATGAGTCTTATCATTTTTGGTATTAATAATAAGCTTATTATCAGCACTATTAGTAGTAATAATAATTGTGTTAGTGCTCGCATTCTTATTCGTAGCAGTATTAGTGTTGTTGTTAGTACTATTATTACTATTATTATTAGTAGTAGTAGTAGTAGTAGTAGTAGTAGTAGTACTCTTGTTCGTAATAGTACTAGTCGTGTTATGCGTATTCGTTGTAGTAGTAGAAGTAGTAGTAGTAGTAGTAGCAGTAGTAGCAGTAGTAGTAGTAGTAGTAGTAGTAGTAGTAGTAGTAGTAGTATTCATATGTTTATGTGCCTTAGTGTTATGTGTCTTAGTCTTCTGTTCGTAATATTATTCTTCTTAGTATTATAATTATTATGATTCGTCTTCGTATTCGTCTTCGTATGCGTCTTCTTCTTGTTATTATTATTTATCTTCCTCTTCCTCGTCCTCGTCCTCCTCCTCCTCCGCCTCCGCCTCCGCCTCCGCCTCCGCCTCCGCCTCCGCCTCCGCCTCCGCCTCCGCCTCCTCCTCCACAATTACTCAATATGAAAACTACTCTGCTCCTTCCCTTGATGACGGGTTGGGAGTGTTCGCCCCACCCACCCCCCGCGTATTGTTTTTTTACACACAGGATTCCTCGGAGTTGGGTTTTCGCTTGCATTTTTCGGACTCGTGCTCCCGCTGCAGCGCTGGCGTCATTTCCCGTGCCATGCCACGGCATGCAGTGCAATGCTAGGTTGCGTTCCGCAGCGCGATGCCATGCCTTCGTCTGAAGCTGTGATGTGCAGTGCTTAAGTGCCACGTCGTGCTATGCCATGCTACGCTTTGATCTTCAACGCCATGCTATGCAATGTTATGTTCGGGGCCGCTGTGCGATGCCATGCTTTGCGTTGCAAAGCTTTGTGATGCAATTCTTCACTACGCCACGCCACGCCATACTGTGACAAACTACAACTGCCATACTCTTCTACGCCATGCCATGCCGTGCTCTACAATGCATCGCGTACCCTTTCGGGATCATTGCCCTGCTCGACATCCGACTGTGCGACTAGAGAGGGGATCTACGCCATGGTAAGGGATGGAAGGGATGGGGTGGGATGTCAGATATGACGCGAGCGCACCTCCCCCTCCCCTTCTTCCTCCTCCGCCTCCTCCTCCTCCTCCTCCTCCGCCTCCTCCGCCTCCTCCCCCTCCTCCGGAGCCTCCTCCTCCTCCTCCTCCTCATCCTGCTCCTCTTCTCCCTCCTCCTCCTCCCTCCCTCCTCCCTCCCTCCCTCCTCCCTCCTCCTCTCCCTCCTCCCTCCTCCCCTTCCTCCCTCTCTCGCCTCCCGCCTCCCTCCTCCCTTGTCCCTCCTCCTCCTCCCTCCTCCCTCTTCCCCCCCTCCTCCTCCTCCCTCCTCCTCCTCCTCTCCTCCTCCTCCTCCTCCTCCTCCCATCCCTCCTCCTTCTCTTCCCTCCTCCTCCTCCCTCCTCCCTCGTCCTCTCCTCCTCATCCTCCTCCTCCTCCCTTCTCACTCCTCCCTCCCTCCTTCGTCCCCCCCCTCCCGTCCTTCCTTCCTCCTCCCCTTGCCCCCTCCATCTCTCTCTCCTCTCTCTCTCTCTCTCTCTCCTCTCCCGCCTTCACCCTCCCTCTCTCTCCCTCCCTCCCTCCCTCCACCCTCCTCCCGCATCCCTCCTCCCTTCTCCCTCCCCCCGTGCTTGCATCTGCCCTGCGCATGTCAATGTCGTCACGCCCCTCGCACCCTTCGTGGCCTCATAGGGAGCTCCACGGAAGGCCCCAGTGGAAGCGTTCGCACCGACCAAGCAACCATTTCGGCGCACCATCACGTGTGTCGTGGCCGAGACGTCACGGCTCCCTCAGGGGGACTGCCAACTGCGCAACCATCGCCACGTTCGTGGGCTCCTGGGAGGCCCAACGGAGTGGGGGGGTGCGAGATCCAAGCGAGACCTCACGGCTCCCTGGGGAAGGTGCCGCCAACTGCGCACCGCGTGTCGCATTCGTGGGCGCCTGGGAAACCTTGAGAAGTGGGTGGGGCACGAAGACTCAGACGAGACCGCACGGCTCCCTGGGGGGTCGGGGGGGCCGTCAACTGCACATACGCCGCCGATTCCGTGGGCTCCTGGGAGGCCCAACGGCATGGGAGAACACGCAGACCTCGACGAGACCTCACGGCTCCCGCGGGGAGGCTGCCGACTACGCACCTCGTGTAGCCGCTCGTGGGCTCCTTGGGAGGCTCCGCGCGGTGGGGGTATATTCCGACCCAGACGAGACAGAACAACTGACGCCACTTCTGAGAGGCTCCGCGGGGTAGGTGCGTACGCGGATCCAGGGGGGACCTCACGGCGCGTTCGGGGGGGGCTGTCAACTGCACAACGGGCATCACGTTCAAGCGCTCCTGGGAGGTCCAGCGGAGTCGAGTTGCTTGCAGACCCATTGCGAGATCTTGCGGTTCTCTGGGGGAGGTGGGTGCCAGCTGCGCGCCGTGTCACTTTCGTGGGCTCCTGGAAGCACATCGAAGCCGGGGTGTACGCGAACTGTCCAGCTGAACGGAGGGGCATGCAGATCCAGCCCGGGACTCGCGGCCCCTCGGGGGCTGTCAACTGCGCAACTGTCGCGGTTGTCGTTGGGTCCTGGGATGCCCAGCGGAGTGGAGTGATATGCGGACCCAGACGAGACCACGGGGCTCTCTGGGGGGGCTGCCAGCTGCGCAATTGCTGCAATGGTTAGTTTGTGGTTGGGAGGTCGAGCGGCGTGGGGGGTACGCGAATCCAGAAGATTCCTCGCGACCCACTGGGGGGCGGGCTCCCAACTGCGCAACCGTCGACACGTTCGCGTATAATTGACGTCGATGCTGTGTGGCGAAGCAGTCAAGCGTGCCGCTTAGACTTCAAAGTGCTATGTTATACTGAGCGGTCCTACCTTAGGCTCAGAGGTATGATTATGGCGCGCGCACGTAACATGCCATCACCAATGATAATAGATGCCCTGTCCCCAAGAGACCCACTCAGATTACAGAACTCAAGCTGGTAGAAACAGGAGGGGTAGAGATATCCGTCAGCTGATGACCTTCAGGCTTCTCGACCTCGTCGGTCTGCTCCGTATTGTCAACGCCCTCCTCCAGCCTGTTCGCGCTCCACGGCGGTCTGTTCAACGGGTCCTCGGGGGCCATCAGGGCACAGCTCAGAACTGGCCAGTGTCACCAGGAAATTCGTCATGAGCGCAATGATACTGGCATTGTCACCACCACCATCATCATCATCATCATCATCATCATCATCATCATCATCATCATCAGCAGCAGCAGCAGCAGCAGCATCATCGTCATCATCATCATCAGCAGCAGCAGCAACAGCGGCGTCATCATTATCAGCATGTGCATCGTGATCGTAATCATCATCATCATCATCATCATCATCATCATCATCATCATCATCGTCATCATCATCATCATCATCATCATCATCATCATCATCATCATCATCACCACCATCGTCACATCACCATCACCATCAGCAGCATCATCGTGAGCAACATCAGCATCAGCATCGTCATCGTCAGCATCATCATCATCATCATCAGCAGCATCAGCATCAGCATCAGCATCAGCATCATCATCATCATCATCATCATCATCATCATCATCATCATCATCATCATCATCATCATCATCTGCAGCAGCATCATGACCACCGCCATCATTACCACCACTGCTACCAACAGCATGAGCATCAGTATCAGCAGCAGCAGCACTTGCATCCTCATACTCAGCATCAGCATTAGAAGCCTCGTCATGCCAATCACCATCATCATCATCATCATCATCAGCATCATCAGCATCATCATCATCATCATCATCATCATCATCAGCATCAGCATCATCATCAGCATCAGCATCATCAGCAGCACCACCACCACCACCACCACCAGCCTCATCATCATACTGTTGTTCCTGCTTATTCTGAAGAAGCTGTTGTTCCTCCTCGTATCCCCCCCCCCCCCCTCCTCCTCCTCCTCCTCCTCCTCCATCTCCTCACGTTCCTCCTCGCCCTCCTCCTCCTCCTCCTCCCCCTCTTCTCCCTCCCCCATCCTCGTCCTCCGTGTCCTCCGCCTCGTCCTCTTCCAACTCATCCTCATCGTCTCCTGCCCTCCTCCCCCGGCTCCATCGGGTGGGGCCCCTCAAGCCGGACCGTCGCGTGTCCACTCGCTCCTGAGCGCCGGCCGGTACCGTCGAACCTGCCCGCCCCCGCCGCCGGGGCACGGCCCCAGGGGCCCGTAGACTGCCTCGGCAGGGGGGCTCATGGGGCCCCTCCGCCTCCTCGGGAGCAGAGGCTCTGGAGGACTGGCCTGCACGGAGGGGCGCGAGGACTGGTCTGCACGCAGACCTCGCGGAGCCAGGGACGGAGAGGAGCGGGGGGGGGCGCGGAGGCGGAGCCGGGCGATCTCCACTGCGAAGCTGCCTTCTGAGCCCGGGCTTCCCAAGCACACTGCGGGGTCCGCGTCGGCAGAACTGCGAAGGAGGCTCCTTGAAACCCGACGCAGAAAGCGCGGCCTATACCTCTACGTCGTCCTCCTCCCCTTGTCCGTCTCCCGCTCCACCGTCGCCCCCTCCTCCTCTAGCCCTCCTCTGGCCTCCCAATCCTCCTCCTCCTCCTCCTCCTCATCCTCCTCATCCAACGTCGCGCTATGACTCTCCCAGGCTCGTACTTGCGGCACATATACTAATCCACCACTGACGGTCCACAAAAGAAAAAAAGAAAACGAACCAATAGAATGAGGAACGTAGCAATGGTAATACGAATGATACCACTACTACTACTACTACTACTACTACTACTACTACTACTACTACTACTACTACTACTACTACTACTACTACTACTACTACTACTACTACTACTACTACTACTACTACTACTACTACTACTACTACTACTACTACTACTACTACTACTACTACTACTACTACTACTAATACTACTACTACTACGGATATTGATAAGGAACTAATAATACTAAGAATACTAGTAAGCTGAAGATTTAGTATGACTACTACTAATAACTATAATTATACGGATAAGCATGAGAAACCCAATCACATTTATTATAGTTATAATAATAGTGATAAGAAGAAAAAGAAGAAGCGTCGCAAGGTCACTGCAACTGCCCTCGAGGGAAACGAACGTGGAGGGGGAACGATCGGATGCGCCGAAGAGGGTCACAAAGAAAACCGCGGTTAGCGCAACATGGCCCCACGCACGACGCATGCGCTCAGTCAAGAGTGAGGCCAGGGGAAGCATCGAAAGAACAGACGGGGCACGAGGTCTGGGAGATCTCATGGCCCCAGGCGTGGTTCCCCCACCCCCTCCCCCGCACCACCACCACAAACACACACACACACACACTTCCTCACTCTAACACACACAGACACACACACACACACACATACATACATCGGCGGTGGACAAACCTCCCTTTAGTAAACCTCCCCTGAGTGAAAACGGCCTGGGCCCGAAACCGACGGACCTGGACCCGCAAAAGTGACGGCCGCGACGCCCTCTCGCGAACCGAGAACGGCCGATTCCTCGATCGGCGTGTCAGGGTAGGAGGTCTATCCATTCCCGAATACACACACACACACAAACACTTCAACACACACTCAAACACTCAAACACACCACACACACAAACACTTAAACACACACACACACACACACACACACACACACACACGCACACACACACACTCAAACACACACACACACACACAACACACACACACTCAAACACTCAAACACACACGCACACATACACACACACATATCACTACACACACACACACTTTTGGAACGTCGGCGCGCTGGCGACCCGCCAGGCCCCCGCACGCCGGGCCTTCGCGCGGGCACGCGGCCGGCCCCTCGCGGGGGCAGCGGCAGGGCAGCGGAGCCGGGCTGGCGGTGGCCCGGGCGGTGGGCGAGACAGGGGGTCCGGGCGGCGGAGCCTCCTCCTCCGCCTCCTCCGCCTCCTCCGCCTCCTCCTCCTCCGCCTCCTCCTCCTCCTCCTCCGCCTCCTCCGCCTCCTCCTCCCTCTCCTCCTCCTCCTCCTCCTCCTCCTCCTCCTCCTCATCCTCCTCCTCCTCCTCCTCCTCCTCCTCCTCCTCCTCCTCCTCCTCCTCCTCCAGTAGTGAGAGACTAGCATCACTTGTAGCAGCAGGTAGGGTGACGCAGGATCAGATTGCTCGGGCAGTAAGTAGGACCCCAGTTTGTCTTCCAGAAGGTATCGCAGTGACAACAGCTCCTGAGATCCCAGTAATTAATATGCCTTCGAATCGAGGCCGTGGTGGCCGACACGTCGGGAGTGGGGGGCGGGGGGCGAGCTCGGGTGGGCGGGGGAATGGACGAGGTCGCCGCGCCTGATGTATGGGCCCTCTCTGAGGGCTACGTGCCTATCGGGGCGCCCATCGGCCAGTGCAGTCTTTGCTGTGAGCCTGAGAGGGGCTCGCATCGTTAGTCGTCTGGTTTCGAAGGAACCCTCTCAGAGTACAGTCAAGTTTTTTTCGAGCTTCGAGGTCGGGATCTTGACAGGGACTCCATGAGGATCTGCTCTGCTCTGCTCCTCCTGCTCCTCCTCCTCCTGCTCCTCCTCCTCCTCCTCCTCCTCCTCCTCCTCCTCCTCCTCCTCCTCCTCCTCCTCCTCCTCCTCCTCCGCCTCCGCCTCCGCCCCCCTCCTCCTCCTCCTCCTCCCCCCCTCCTCCCCTCCTCCTCCTCCCTCCTCCTCCTCCTCCTCCTCCTCCTCCTCCTCCTCCTCCTCCTCCTCCTCCTCCTCCTCCTCCTCCTCCTCCTCCTCCTCCTCCTCCTCCTCCTCCTCCTCCTCCTCCTCCTCCTCCTCCTCCTCCTCCTCCTCCTCCTCCTCCTCCTCCTCCTCCTCCTCCTCCTCCTCCTCCTCCTGCGGGCAACGAGCACGCCCGGCGCGGTGGAGCGGCAGGAGGCCGCGCCCCGAGGGGGGGGCAGCGCCGGCGGTGAGGCCAGCACGGAGAGCGAGGCGCCAGCACGCGGGACCCGCGGGCCACTGCGACCGACAAACAGGAAGGGGCCCAAGGGCACACACAGAAATGCACACAAACAAAAATACTCCCCAAATTTCCTCATACGTTTTGGGCTCTCGTCCTCCCCCCCACTGCCCATATTTTCCCATCTTTTCTGGGGAATCGACGATGAAGTGTGTCTGTGTGCTTCTTTCCCTCCTGGAAACAAGGGATCACCCTGTGCACCGCCAAAGGCGGCGACAGGAGGTGGCGCGGCAATGTTGAAGCCGCAAGTAGCGCCCGCCATAACGGCGCCAGAATGCTCAAGGAGAGAGCACCGACGTGATCGTCACAGGGAGCCCAGCCTCGAGGTCCAGTGAGGGCGAGGAGGGCAGGAAGCAGGCCTATGGGAGGACCCTCGCGCCGAAAGGCCCAGCGCAGCCTGCTGGTGCAGCGAGAGGGCCAGCGGCGAGTGCCTACTCGCAAACCTCATCAGAAACGAGCGTTGTTCGACGCAGTGGGCCCAAGCCGTTGGCGAGTAGCCACGTTGCGAGTGAAGTGGAACGCGCTTGTTTGCCAGCGAGGGCGAGGAGGGCAGGAAGCAGCCCTGTGGGAGGACCCCTCGCAGCGCGAGGCCCAGCGCAGCCTTCTGGTGCAGCGATAGAGAGAGAGAGAGAGAGAGCCAGCGCAGCCCTGGGAGGGCGCGCAGCGAGCCGCGCCAGCGGAGCAGCGCCAGCGGAGCAGCGCCAGCGGCGTGCCGCCAGGGCGAGGCGGCGGGCAGCCAGGGTGGGGGGAGGAGAGCCAAAGATCGAATCGATAAGTCAGATCGGCAGTCGAAACGAATCGGATCGGCGGACATCGGCAGCCATGTCGGGGGGAGTCGAATCGGCGGGAGTCGGCAGGCTGGTGTGCCCCCAGTGGGAAGTCGGAACCAGAACCGGCCTCCCAAGCCGAATCGGATCGGCACCGGACGCCGCCGAAGTCGAAGCGAGTCGAGGCGGAGGCGTCGAGGCGAGCCCTGGCGGGGGGGGGGGGGGGGGGGCAAAGGGGCCTCCCGAGGGCAGCGGGGTGCCCTGGGCGCGCCACGCTCGGGGGCGGGGGGCAAGGCCGCCGAGCCGAGCAGGGGCAGGCGCGGCG